CGCAAATACTGCAGCGGGGTCTGGAAGCCCACAAACCCAATATTGGGACTGGATACCTCGTATCCCATTACTTTCTGAGCCTCCGGAGACCAGGACAGTACTTCTTCAGCTGTGTTGGCAAGATAAATGTTTTCCTCCTGTCGATGGAATCCGCGCGTGAAAAACATGCCATGTACTACCCGTCGCTCATTTTGTGTGACGTTCGCGCCCCCTGCATGGTACAGTCCTCCCAGCATCACCCAGCAGTCGGTTACATCCAACTCCGCCGCGACGGCCTCGTCCAGCTTGGGTGCCCGGTCGGAACCCCACAGGTGACTACCGGGGATGGCGATGGTGGCACCATTCTCGACTGTTGTCTTGACCCCGGGGACCATGAAGGCCATCATTACATCCGAGCCCACCCGATAGCCCGTAGTGCTCTGGTCTTCATGATCTACATGAAAGTTCTTGTCGTCACGATGAAGACGCTGTGCCTTGGCACCAGGCCCTATGTCAAATGTCATCGCGATCGAGCAGATCGCCTCGCTGGTATATGTATGCTTTGTTTCTCCATAGAAGTTGGAAGTTGTCTTATCAACAAACCTCGCTGTCAGAGCACGAATGAGCGGATCGACCAGCCAGTTTTCCCGGGCAGTTTTGCTACGGCCTGCGAGGTTCGCACAGCGGCGTGTTTCAGGTGGAAAGAGGTCACCCTGATATTGTTAGACGTGCAAGGGTCCGAAAGGGTCTGTCCACCCACCTTCCAGGGCTTGTCGGCATCAAGGTAAGGCTGCACTTCCTCATTGACCTGCTTTATAGTTGCCGCATCCGTGAAATCCTTGATGATACAGCAGCCATCCTTGATGATGGCTTGGATGATGGCCTCCACGTCGGCCCGGTCGATGCGTTGAATCGGGAGCTGCTTGACAGCCATAACAGCAAAAGAAGTCTTTCGTGGTGATATAGCACGATGGCAGTCTGCATATCGAGCGGTAGGACGGCTTCTTATCTGTTCTAGTGGCAGCTTGCTTCAAGTATGTGACCCCGAAGCGGAGTATCTCCAGGCTGTTTTGGCAGGTGGAGCCGCAGTCGCCAATCATCCTAAAGCGCTTCTCCGCATCTGGCCGTCTTGCGACGACGTGAATGGAAACTCGATCCCTACTAGGTGTCTCAAGGTGATAACATATCATAGGCAAACCCCGCATCAACAGCCAATCATCATGGAACTAAGTATCGCAACCATTCTGACTTGCCGAGATAGTCATGCCCGGGCTTCCTCACAGTCCAGAAAGGCTACAGACGTGCACTTCACGCTGCTTGTTCTTCCAGTCGAGCCAGGAAGGTGAGATGCGACCGAGCCCGGCCCCGGTGTTCGATGGTGAGAAGCGGAAGCTCTACCCTGAGCGCCCATCGGACCCACCGCGTCTGCTTTGGCTATCTCCTCGCGCTGGCCTCATGCACGAGACTGCCTGGGAAGGGCTACATGCACCCAGGTGACCTTTGTTCAGCGGTATTACCTTGAGGTGGTAGCTTATTTAAGATACAGTCACCACAGATCAGTGTGGTAGGACGGCACCTAAAATGCCTCGGAGCTGCTTCCACTCCAACACCGTATTTCGCTTGCATCCATCCTGAAGAATTGTACAATCAAGGCGATCAGTATGGGCAAGCTACATGCTGGGCAATGGACTTCTTCATATATTCCATCAGGCCTCTGGTCCAGTATCCACTGACATCATGTCAAACATCAATTTAAACCCCCAGGGACTGGCATTTCTCACTGCAAATAATAGACTCGACTATGTCCCAGGCATCGAGCCGTTGGCATTTCATGACACGTTTCTTCATGCTGGACAGTCAGATTTGGGTTTTGCCATGTATACCGTGTCAACTCTTCCAGGCAGTTCAGAAGCTCTTAATCATTACCAATCATCGGTGCGAAAGGGGCATCAATCCGACAATTTTACAACCATGCGTTAAGCAGAGGACCCCTTGTCTTAAGTTTATCATGCAGACGCAAAGAGCTGTGAATTGATCATTGAATGCATGATGACCGGGAGTCGTCGCCGTGTATGAAGCACTTGAAACTTAGACCAGACAAGCCTTCATTAGATGGCTAGAACGATCTGTGGAGAGCACCGGGAACCGTATGTTTACCGTGGCCCTTGAATTTGTCCAGAGGGTATGGCACGTTCGAGATCTCCTTGGAATGCACAACATTCCGTGGACTACAATCTAGAGAAGACCTGATGAGCCAAGGATGGGGGTGTTGAGTTAACTCGGAACGAGCACCTGCGAAACCCCTTATCTTGCCAATCGTTACCGTGCTTTAGCAGCAACCAACTGAGGTCCGAATCCCCGCCTAGCTGATTATTGATAGGTCAGGAGCGAGTCGGATCAACCACTGCTTGCCTCTTATCAGTGCGGAGATCTTGGAACGGGAAGGTGAGAGCGAGTTGACATACCGATAGTTACATACCCTACATGCAACACCTTATCTTAAGGTCATTCTATTTTCCTCTCTTTGGCGATCGCTCAATCTCAGACCAATTGAATTACTACTCAACTTGCTGTCATGAATTCCCAATTGAAATTTAGCAATGGACCAGAAACCTCCTCAAAATTGTGCAGTGAGAAACCACTGGATCTCACGCCCAGACATTCGGTGGACGAAGGTCAGATAGACTCCGACGTGGAAGGATCAGGGACACTGCATCGAACATTAACTCCACGTCTGATTCACGTATGCACCATCTCACAACCCAAACCACACAGAATACTGATTACGACAGGTAATATCTTTGGGTTCCAATGTCGGAAGTGGTTTATTCATAGCGACGGGGAAGGCACTAGGCGAGGGAGGCCCAGGAAACATGTTCATAGGCTACTTGATTGTCTGCATCGGAGTCTGGGCCAACCTGCAAACATTATCCGAAATGACGATTGCGTTTCCGACGTCAGGTAATTACATCGACTACGCCGATCGATGGGTTGACCCAGCATTGGCTTTTGGTGCTGGCGTTGCAGAATGGCTAGGTGAGTGGCCGAGCTCAGACATTCCAACGGCCATATCAACTCATCTATTGTTAGGATGGACGACGGTGTTTGCGTCTGAAGGGACCTTCTTCGTGCTTTTAGTCAACTTCTGGGCCGACGGGGCCATTCCTGAAGCAGCTTTGCGTGAGTCTGCCTCAACGTATACGCACGGTACCTGCTTACATCTGTAGTCACGATATACCTGGTTATCTGTTTGGTGGTCTTCTTGGTGCCGAACAAGTATTTCGGCTGGCTTGAATACTTTGGCTCCTTGGTCAAGGTGCTACTATTCCTCTTTATCACCATAATCTCACTGGCGATTATCGGCGGTGCCGGTCCGTCCGGGTATGTACGAGATGGAAGTACATGGACAGAGCTCCCAGCATTTAAGAATGGTTTTGGAGTGAGTACTCCCATGCAAATCTTGTCCTGATCAGAGCTCAGCCAAGGATGCAGGGCTTTGCCAACGCCGCATTACTCGCTATCTGGGCCACTGGTGACCAGGTCTTCATCGGAGTCATGGGCGGCGAAGCCGAATCTCCTCGCTACTCGATGGCACACGCAGCCAATCTAGTCCCATGGCGAGTAGCAGTCTTCTACCTCGTTTCCGTAGTGCTCGTGTCGGTCATTGTTCCCTCAGACGATTCACGCCTCTTAGGCGGATCCAGCGTGACCACGTCCCCCTTTGTGATTGCCGTCGAAGACGCCGGGATCAAGGGTATTCCCAGTCTCATCAACGCGTGTCTAATCATCGGTATCCTGGCCATTGCTCTAGAAGGCATATTCCTTCCGTCTCGCATCCTCCGCACTATGGCACTTCAAAAGCTACTGCCTTCGTTCATTGCCAAAGTCGACGACAAAGGTCGTCCAAGATGGGCACTTGCCATTACTGCCATCGTAGGAGTTACAATCACCTACATGAGCTTGAGCGGTGAGCCTCTTCCCCAAAACCCATTCATAACTTCCCTAGCAATACTAACGACGATAACCATAGCCGGCGGCCTCGAAGTCCTGAACTGGCTCATCGCCATAACCAGCGCCTCCTTCTTCACCAACTGGGCCATCATCGCAATCACCTCGTTCCGCTTCCGCGCCGCCATCAAAGCCCAGAAAAGCACCCTCCTAACAACTCCAGCCTATGCATGGCACTCCCCCCTATGGCCACTAGCCCCAGTCACAGTTCTTATCATATCAACACTACTTCTCGTCTGTATTCTCTACCTGGGAATCAAACCAGTAAGCCAATCCCCATCTCACCATACAGTTACCCCTGCCTTGACTTCACTGATGATCTAATGACTAATCGATGATAGATCGATGACTCCTTCTCTGCATACAACTTCTTCTCCTACACCATTGGACTTATATTGATTATCGTTGCCACGATAGTGTACAAGATTGTCTTTTGGACCGAGTGGCGGGATCCAAACACTGCTGATTTGGGTACGGGAAGGGCGGTGTTGACTGCGGAGGAGATTCGGCGGTTGGATGTGTATTATGGTATGCCGAGGTGGAGGCGCGTAGGGGCGTATGTGCGGATGTGGTGATTATACTGCTGTTTCTGATGATTTTTTGGGTGAGTGGTTGGGGTGATGTGTGGTGTGCTTGTCTTGTTACGCAAATGGTGGATGATTGCAGATTTTTATGTTGGGTGTACGTGTCTAGTTTTGTTTTGGATATTCTGGCTTTCTGTGTAGTAGTAGATGTATTGGTATTCGTATCATCATCTAGCTTGGAGACATGGAGTCGTATCTAGTCTAGAATCGTCGCGCCAGTCTAGAACCAGAAAGAAACTCGAAGAAATAAGAAGTCAAGTACTAATCCAAGCGCCTAAATCCCACCATTCATCCATCCAGATATCGATCCAAGTACCAAAAGCAAAAGCACAAAGCAAGCATCCCAAACCCAAAGAACCCCAAACTCATCACACGTTAAACATACAAAAACCCATGGTCCATCATAATATTCATGGTATCAGAATCAAATCAAACACTCTCCCCACTCTCTCCCTTCCCCCTCGACTCCCTCCCCTTCTCCGACCACGGGAAATGAAACACAGGAACAAGAAAGAAACTATTACTATCGTCCGCGATACCCGCAAGTGCAACATACCAAGCCATGAACGCGCCCAATAACGCAAACAACCCACCCGCCTTAATAATCTTCGCGTTGGGCACCTCCGGCGCTGTGCGATGTATATACCCGACTGCTAGGAGGAGAAGGGCAATATCAACGGCTGCGAAGAGGGTGCAGAAGACGTAGGTTGATTTGAGGGTGCAGATCCAGAGGAGGAAGGTGAAGATGAACCAGCCCTGTATGTATTTCATTCCAAATTAGTCTTAGTGGAGGGTATGGGAGTGGGGAGATGGGGGCTGTAGTACCATTAGGAATAACCCGAATGCGTCATAGAACATCGACAAGCTGCCATTATTGGCTGCTTTGTAAGCCCCCTGGATGTCGAATCCGCCGGGGATGAAGACTATGGATAGGGAGATCCAGAAGCCGCCGTATGAGGAGAGCGCGGTTGCGCCAAAGGTGTTTCCGGCGGCCATTTCCCTGGTTTATTACGTTAGTGGTTTTGGTTGGGTGGGTGGAGGGGAGAATTGAGTTTCTGGGTTGGAGGTAATGTACGTACCACATGCCCGCGAGAAGCTGGACAAGACCCCCGTATGCGAACGCAGGCCCGACGATAATGTTGGGAGTGGCGATTCCCAGCGTCTGCATGTTGATGCAGCCCAGGAGGAATGTCGTGAGCGCAAACCCGCATAAACCTAACGGTGCGGGATTGGCCATCTTACGGCGCTTCTGAGGCTTCCATAGACCTGGTTGGAGTTCGCCTGCGAAGGCAGGATAGGTGGTCCCTGCCGTGTTGACGTGGGCGAGGGGCCCGAAGTCGAAGTGGAAGGAGTCATTGGGAGTTGCTGTAGAGGTGTTTGTTCTTACGAGGGTTGGTTCGGCGGTTGGGGGTTTCTCTTGGGAACTGGGGGCTGAAGACATTGATGTTGAGGGGAAGATGGAGAGGTTGTCTGAAGGCATTTTGTCTTCATTGAGATGGTGAAGAATTGGAAGATAGGGATTTATCCCACTGGGGTCTTTGCGATTAAGCTAAATAGGAGAAGGAAGATAGTATCTCCAAGCCAGGGGCCTGCTCGATCGTCTTCCCCAAGCGGGGGATCGACGAGTAGTATCTGGATCGCACATGGCGGCCTGGGGCAATTGAGCTTGATCTTCGATCTAATTGAGTGATGATGCTCGCTGAAGAGATGGGATCTCAAATTTGGGACGAGTTTGATATCATTACTTAGATGCAATGGATGGATGCGCCAGTGGAAATCCGGGGAGGTGCTGGGGCAGTGGAGATTCAGTGCGGAGAAGCTGTCCGTAGGTGGCCAGGATCAGCGTCATAGATGGGAGGGGAGTGCGAATCAGAGAAATTCTCAGTCACAGTTACGGTCAACCCCGAGGGGGTTAGGCTTTGCTGAATCGATAGTAAATGTAACCTGGATGCACATGATCATCGTACCTTGACGTTGTCCAATAGAATCGCGTGTGGCTGCTGGTAGGACCAAGTCTTCCCGTCGGAGACAAGTGAAGCCGGGGCAGGAACCAAAGAGGAGGAGGATCACGGATGCTGACATTCTTCAACTACCGAGCCTGTAGTGGCCGGGCGTCGCCGGTTAGCGTAACTGCCGCCCCGGGCAGGATCGGGTCTGACCCCAACCGACTCAGCGGAGCGGAGGAACAATGTACCATGCATCGGCAAGGAGGTGACCATGGGAGCACAGCAGCAAAATTGGACTGATTCGTAGATGGGACGATGGAGTGGCCAGAATTGGAAAGTCTATTCTTTATTGCGGCCAATTGATTCCTACATTTGCAACTGGCCCTTGGTTGAAGGTGCTAGGGTTGCGTAGAAAGCATTAATGCCTGAGGCATCGATATCCTCAACAACAATGGTCGCGCAATTCAGTACAGGCCTGATTATGAGACATGAGACTTTCGATCGTAAATACATTGGTAATCGTTGAATATAATGGAGAATAAGGCTTATAGCTAATTGGCCATTTTCGTCTATTGGAAGGGCCTTTTCCAACCGGTGCTCAGCGTCTATTAAGTACGGTACTAGAATATAGTAGGGTATAAAAATATATATCTACACCATCATCAGAACAAATCAGCCAACGCGACTTTCGACAGTTGGATTTTGGCATACATCAGAAATTAGCTGCTTAGAACAGATTTATTTAACTAAGGCTATAGAAAAAAATATCAAACTTAATAGTCTTATATTACATTGGCTGATGAAAAGGTTTATTGCAAGCAAAAACCCATGATGAAGGCTTCCGCAATGAGACATGTCCAAATCTATACAACTTCCAAAAACTGAACTGCGTACAAATGAGTTTCACCTATAAAGAATTTCAACTGGTAAAAAGTCTACTGGATGAATTAGATATATATGAGGAGTTTGCATTATGTTTAATGGTTCGCCTCTGACATGGACTGCTAACAAGTGTCCACAACTACACGGTTCCCCGACGAACGTTGAACCAGGACGAACCACTTGCTGGACCCTCCGACTGCAGGGACTGCACCAATAGACAGTTAGCCAGGAACGGGCCGTGCTAATACCGGGGAAAGACTAATCGAACAGCGTGCAGAGCCCAGTCTAGACCGTTTTAAGTCCAGTTGGTGCCTCAGGCGATGACAACAGGCAGCCAAGAGGCTACTAGGTGGGCTGACTACTGCAAGTATGACCTAGTCTGGTCCCTGCCGCAGACATATCCAAGTATAGAAGGTTTGGGAATATCCGGGGAAGGAATCGGGACGGTCCTGGTGCCCACTCCCGGGGATTTGTTTGTCCCTTGACGGGATCCGCTTGTCAAGGATGGCATGTCGTGGTCTTGGAGCTTTGACGACATGGGACGTCCCTCGGATACCTCTTGCGGCTAGCCAGGGGAGAAGAGTCTATCATTCGTGTCTATTTGTGGTGTATTGGTAAGTTTCCGATCCACATCACTAAGCTGGTTGCACGTGGTTAGGCTCCTTGGTGCATAGATCGCAGGCGGGAATGCGCGCCAATGAGGTTTGACCGACTGAGTCAGGTTAGCCTAGCTTGTGGGAGGCAGGGCTGTCAGTTGGCGTGAACTACCAGGGACAGAGTGTATGTGAGGTCTCGCGTGGAAACCTGGTCTGACACTGTCTACTACTGCACAGATGCTACTCAACTTGGCTTGGAAGGCGCCAAACTGTGGAAAAAAAACTGAATTGTTTCGAGATTGAGTAGAAACTATACTCGTATAGTCACATATGGTCTGATGTGTAAAAGAAGTGCCCTGTCACGGCAGTAGATGGTTGATTCTACCGGTAGCTCATCCGCAATACTCAACTCGACGGAAGAGTGAATCAGAGTCGGCAGCGATGCCGTGTTGAGAGGGAAGAGGGTAGATCCACTCCCCCGGCTCACAATCATACGATATCCAGGGGTAGCCGTGGTTAATCACCACCCCGGATACTGCCCTACAGTGCAGCGTGGTCGACCTGGGGTCATTCTTCCCGGGGCATCGGTATGCCGCCCCGCTTGTCAATCCCGAGATTAAGGATGGCACGTGCCCAACGGCAACGGGGTCCTGCCCGGATGCCGGTCTCATATCGGCTTCGAGGCCGGAAAGGGTCAGCGCCAATTAGAACCCGTCAAAAAGTAAAGGCACACACACCGCTGTCCTCTTTGGGGAAGAGCGCAGGTTTTTGTTTTTCCCCCCGGCAGTCACCCCGCCCCCGCCCCCGGATTGCCAGCCGTCGACTTGCCGGCAGAATTAAGAGCAGCATAGAGGGATTGCCAGGACATTGATCGTGACAGGTCCTTCTGTATCTACTATGAGAGACAAAGTCCGATAGAAGTGAAGTATCTATTCTGTGTTTTTTTGATGGTATGTCGTAAGATTCAATAATATTGGGAAGAGATCGAAGAACTGACAAAAGGCTCAGCTACTTCCCCAAGTAGGATTACTACTTGAACCATCTTGATTGGTCCACACCTTGAGAATAGTACTTAGTAGCCCAGAAGTGTAATCAGCCCATTCCAGCAAGGCTGTTGGTCGGTAGGTGAACGGCAGGGCGGAAAAACAGTTCGTCGAGGAGGCGTCAGTCCGGATAGGAAGGCGGAGAGCTGGGGAAGACAGGGAGCACTTACCCGCGGGTAAGAGCAACCCCGGGGATCACCGCGCAGTAATGCAGATTGATATCAGAATCAATTATCGATTTTGATATGCAGGTAATCTTGCTAATTCGGCAAGGCAAATGCAACCTGCCGTCGTTCGGCTGTTCCCACTACGAACTGCGAAAACTGAAACATCGCATCATGCAACCCATCAGATCCGTCGGCATGTGGCAACGGTAACTTTGGGTGTCTGGTACCGTCGCACTGTCCCCACACGGAGTTGTAGCCGATCGATTTGCCGTCGCTCGCCGTTCTATCCAGACTTGCCACGACCAAATTCATCGTGTATATAGACCCTCCAGACCTCGCTGAGTTTTTGTCTCTCATCATTCTACATCTCACTCCTCTCTCAACCTTTACCTTCTACCTTTCTCCTCTTCATACCATACATACACAACACAGACAACATGTCTACCAACCGCCGCTTCGACCCTAACTTCACTCCCTATGTGGTCAACTCCATGGGACCCAAGACCCCCGAGCGTGCTCGTGTGGTCCTTGGCGCCCTGATCAGACACATTCACGACTTCGCTCGTGAGGTTGAGCTTACCTCCGCTGAGTGGATGCTTGGTGTCGAGTTCATCAACTCCATCGGAAAGATCAGCACTCCCATCCGTAACGAGTGCCACCGTATCTGCGATGTCATCGGTCTGGAATCGTAAGTCTACCACACAAAAACAGCGGTCGCAGCAAACTTAAAGCTAACTTTCATCTCCCCACAGCCTTGTCGATGAGATCGCCAACAAGATCATCACTGAGGAGGGTGTCTCCCCCACCTCCAACGTCATTCTCGGTCCCTTCTGGTCTCCCAACGCTCCCTTCCGTGAGCTCGGCGACAGCATCATTCAGGACCCCAACCCCAACGGAAAGGTCACCTTCATGCACGGTGTTCTGAAGGACATGGAGACTGGTGCTCCCATCGTCGGTGCCGTTCTTGACATCTGGCAAGCCTCCGCCAACGGCCAGTACGACTTCCAGGACCCCAACCAGACCGAGAACAACCTTCGCGGCAAGTTCCGCTCCAACGAGAAGGGCGAGTTCTGGTGGTACTGCTACCACCCCACTCCTTACTCTCTCCCCACCGACGGTCCCGCCGGTGTTCTCCTCAACCTCATGGACCGCTCTCCCATGCGTCCTGCCCACATTCACTTGATGATCACCCACCCCGACTACGCCACCGTCATCAACCAGATCTACCCCTCCGACGACCCTCACCTCGACATCGACTCCGTCTTCGCCGTCAAGGACGATCTGGTTGTCGACTTCAAGCCCAAGACCGATGACCCCAAGGCCCAGCTCGACCTGGAGTACAACGTCACCATGGCTCTGAAGAAGCACCACCCCAACCCCAACTCCGCTCCCCCGGTCTCCTCCTTCGAGCGGTTCAACAAGGCCAGCAAGACCCAGGAGAAGCTGTAAAAAAAACAGAAACACATGCCATGATTTGGTGATACGAAGCATTTGATGTACATAGTTTTGCATTTGTCGAACTTTCAGCGATGACCCTTGGACATACTGTTTGAATACAGATTTTTTCATACCCTTCACACATGGAACTTCTAGCGCCATCGTAGTCAGTAGACCCACATATGTCTTCGACTGCACTTCGAGAAGATCATAGCACCTGCATAAGCACACTGGGTCCAGTGCGGGGTCCCCAGGCCAAGCCTCCGCAAATCGGATCCTTGTCAATGTCATCGTCCCACGTAGTAGGAGTAAGTAGTATCCAGATTGGGTGCATCCCGCGGACAGAACCCCCGCATGAGTAGTAGCACTCATTACCCACAAAAGTCATACCAGATCCCTTCATAACATCAGATCCAAAAAGAAGAATGTGGCTTTATGCACATCGCTCAGTTCATGATTTATGACGGTGACGGATTACATGTGGCAAATAACGGAAATACGGAAATACTCGTGCCACTACGGAGTACCAATAGCAATCCGAAGCAGGGCGTCTAAAGCAATCACTACGTGCTTGGATGTGTCTGTATATTGTGGTTGAAGAATTGACTTTCCTGTTGCAATTATATTACAAAATTTGCATCCTTGGATCAGTGGAGAAATTGCTAGATGTAGTTTCGTCTGCGTCAACGAGGGGTGGTATTATGCCACGAAATGGAAATGGCACATCTGAGCCCATAGTTCTCTTTCCCGCATACTAAATAGACCTCGTTAGAAAACATACCAAAAAAAGAGAAGACAGATCATATCTTCTGTTGTTGTGCTCGAAGCGACTATCATGCATCCGCGGATTGATCAGACCGAGAGGCATTGTGTTATGCTCGCCGAGAAGGTGTATGGCATTGTATCCCCATTTTCTGCTCACGCCATTATTCCGCAGTAACATATGACTAAGAGCAAGGGCAAGCCGCTGACAAGCTTCGATCAATCAATTATATAGACGTACATTCTAGGCCAGTGCAATAGGCGAAAACACCTTGAATGATTCACACAAGTGCTTGTCGTGGGCTTCCGAGTGATTATGCCTGCCGTATCACCCCGAGAGTAGCTAGACTCTGCTATCCGATACCCGTCGATAGCGGTATGTCATCTGAGCTGGAATTGCAGTTCAACTGGTTGTACCTGGATTCGAATGCACTGATGTGTGTAGAATTCATTTGGGTGGCGGAGAAAAGATATCCATAACATCATCCTGCCATGTGAGCACACCTATTTCTTACTGTATCTCTCACGCATTGCTGGAGTGATAGTGTGGGCGGTATGAGCAAATTCCGCATCGACCCAGTCTGCCCATTCCCAGCCAATCCAGTCGTCGAATTCAAGCATCATACCCTTCTTCCATCGCAGAATTGGAGAGATGTACTGCCGAGGAAAAACTCCCTACCGGCAAGCAGCGGCTCATCCAGCTTTCGGCCGAAGAGAGCGCCAGCAAAATCCAGAAATACAAGGCTGCATTGCCGGCGCGAGCCCGGTGGAACCATCATGACGTTCCTGGGACTCAGGTCGGTAAGTAGTATATCTCGTCTATAGACTTCGGACTCAAATTCTATCACGGATTTCATGATTTGCTGGCGATCCCGTTGGGGGAAATTGCCTGGGCCGGCTTGTAGCATCGATCTTCCAGGGATATGCTCAATCAAGATCAGGCGGACAGTCCGTGGACGAATTTCATCTTTCTCCGCATCGTCACCGATATCTTGACATTCGATATCTGTAGAATAAGACCCGTAAAAGCGGGGTATCAGGTCCCCTTGGAGATCGGAGAGCACCCGATACGTGTGTGCCTCATGGGTGTAATGCTTGTCCACGCAGAGAAATGGATTGAGATAACCGCCGAGATCATTGAGGTAGAGCGGATCATACACCTTAGCAACCAATTCCCTTGTCCCCTGAAATGTCTCGGTGTTGGACTCCGGATTTAGGACACGGACATTAAAGACTTGTGCACTATGTCCGTCACCAACTCTTATAGGGTCCAAGACCTCGAGGTCGACAGTTTGTTGCCCAAGATCCCCTGGTAGCGGAGGATGTTTGCAGCATCTATCCACAGAACTGAGTGTTGCTCTTTCTTCTCTCCCATTGTCGGAGTTGCGACATCCATCTAGGGTCACTGGTGTGGGCGCTGGTGTAGCATGTGATCGGGCACTGAATCTCCATCCCTTGGTATATGGAATTGGAGGCTTGACGCGAGCAAATTCAAAATAGTCCATGTTTATCTAAAGAGCAAAACTTATCAAGAATAAGGAGATACGGAATCTTGGACCACTGGATTCTGGCACAGCCGTGACAGAATTGGGCTATATGTAATGGTGAAATTGGTTTCCTCCTGGCGACAAGGGGAACTTCGTGACGCGGTCGGTGCAGGAATTTCTCCGCCTCCGAAGATGCCCCGTTGCCACTACTTGCATGTATGTAGTGGTCGAAACTGATGGATATTTATATGGCAGACTCTTAGAGAAAGCCATTTCTTGATGCTTTGAATATAATGTTCTTCTCATCGCGTCTGGTATTGTTAGGGGACTATCAACCAGTAGGAGTTTTCCCTTTCGTAAGATGTTTGCGATGTCACTACCTTATTAGGGTTGATTAAGTCCCCATACTTATCTACTATACCGGATTATTGCATACCGAACTATTTACCCAGGTAAGACAGAGTAATATCAATGATTAATTCATATTCACATTCACATTTCCATAACTCCGCCAACATATCTGCACACAGAACCATGCTACTCCATCCACAGCCATCAAAAGAACCAGCTCCGATGCTTCCTCCAATCCTGCCTCGTGGCTTCTCTCAAATCATCCACATTGATCAGATCCACTCCCTCCCTCACCAAAACATGCCAAACATGGTTTCGCAAACCCCGCGGCCAGCTCGGGGTTCCCCAGTACCGCACCTTCAAACCCCGCGCGTGCGCAGCTTCAACCTGTTTGCGGACCAGCTCTAGCTGTCCCTGCGAGAAGCGGTTGCGGGATAGACTACCGACAGTCTTGCGGAAGTCGACAGAGGCATAGTAGCTGTTCTTGTATGAGTAGGTAGGCTCTGTTTCTGGACCTGGAGGATCGGGTTGTTCGGTACTGGGTGGAAGGAGGGCCAGCTGGTCTAGCGGGGCGTCGTAGAAGATGTCCTGGTATGTTTGGTTCGACGTGATGCGATCGAAGGGCGCATCGCCGGTAACGACGACTGTGAGGGGCCGGGTGATGATGTCTGTGCCGTTGAAATATGTGAGGTAGTCACCGTCACGGAGGGGTTGGAGTTGCTCCGTCACCATGGACCAAGTGGCCTCCGGCTGCTCTTTGAAATCGATGAGCAGGACCAGGGTCTGTGATGGGTCACTGGAGAATACTCCGGCGCGAAAGCTTCCGGGATGGTGCGCGGGCTCGAGTTGGCTCGACCGGGTGTTGTGCTTCTGGAGTAGGTCCAGAAGAGGATTGAGGTACAGGCTTTGGAGAGTGACCTCGTGGTGCAGTGTGAAGGGGGTATGTCCGACGAGCAAGTCATTGTTGGATGGCCAGACGTCAGCTTCAACACCGATGCAGCCGGCGGTAAGGGCCGAATGGAGTGGTACATCGCGCCAGTAGTCGTTGTGTGAGTGGCATCGCACGGGGACGACACCGTGGGTGGTCCAATGCGAGAATATGGATGGGCGACCGGCGGGGAAGACCCAAGCGTCAAGACGGGCGTCAAGGTCGTCTGGAAAGAGATATACTAAGCCAGACCAAAAGAGGGAGGCGATTTTGAGGAGGCCGCTTGATGGGATTAGCGAGCGACCATTGATGCAGCTGCAGGTGACAAGCGATACTCACAGCACGATAACGGCTCCCCAGAAGGGACGCTTTACAAATCTGCAGAGCATGGCTCTCCGGGAGTACGGGTGAATATGACAATACAAATGACGGCATTTCCAGAAACTACATAGGCTGCGCAGCCTGCTGCGATGCACTCGGGTGGTGGTTCGTCGTCGCCGACGTTTGGGGCCAAAGTTCGTCAAAGGTAGAGCTTCGAAGCTGCTCTCATCCTGATCGGATTCTACCTCAGGGACCATCTCCAAAGGAGAGTGTTTAGCGAAAACGCGAGAAGAGGACGGCTCTCCTTCCTCAGATTGATCGCGTGAGACTTCATATGCCATGTTTGCGATGCACTCTCGTCGACACGGACCGATGCCGCATGGAGTGCAGTGAAAACTTCACGAGCGATCGGGCAATATCCAGGGTCTTCGGCAGAAAAGAGGGGACTAGGCAGCAGCAGACTCTCAAAAGTGGCGCAGCAGCGACCAGTCCATTCAGCGTTCATCAGTTGCCTTCAAGGTTGGCACTAGCTGGACGGTGCCAGCCAGCCAGACAGTCTGCCCTTGGTTAGCCAAGAACTTAGCGAAAAGCTTGTCCGGGTCAAGCTTGCATGTCCGGCTATTTTTATTCGGGCCCCAACACATGATGTGTGCCTCACCGTGGATTTCCATTTGTGCGTTGCCAGAATTTCAATGTATGCCCTGGAACATCTCTATTTTGAAGTATTTGGCTATTACTGAACCAACTACGGTCCTAATTATCAAGGATTGGAGTTCACAAATGTTATCAATCACTCAATGCTAAAACTGTCATTGAAAAAACAATTCATAAATTTCCTATTCATAGCCTTTGTTTTGATATAACACCCATAAGAGCGTAATGGTTAACATGTAATTTTCGAGGATTAAGACAGCGAGGATTGAGAGAACCCCAAATGATTTATGATATGGCATGATAGAAACCAAAGGCTTACTTGACCCCCAGCGCTACGAGCACCAATTTCTTGCCCTGTAATTGCAAACTGAGATGAGCATGTCCAATATTCCAGTTCAAAACCCGAGCGAGGAACACCAAGTTCGCTATAGGCTATGCATGTGCTCTTGTGCGCACAATACTCAACCTTCCGGGTATAGATGAAGTGGAGCCAAAAGATTGCTCATAGATAATATGATTGTTGAAAGACAAGGAGATAAGCAGATAATCATCCTTATATTTACATGCTTCGTGATATCCATTTTCGTCCATTTATCTTCGATACCCATAAAGGTCCCTTTCTACCCGGCGTTGCCATCCCGCTCATCCATGACATTATTATAGTCCCCCAAAGCAAGATCTACGAGATAAATTGCTAATACTTAGTGCTATAATCTTCCGATCTACCATCATAGAACCCAGTCGAAGATCAACCACTCCTAGCAGTCGACCAAGCCTAAAGAAACACACCAAACACCCCACCGAACCACCAAACAGCGAACAAGTAATCCTCACAATCAAGAGAAATCCATCCAATTACAATTCCAACTTGCATTCCCCAAGTAAAAACCCCCCGATCGCACAGCGAATACAATTCCATTGAAAGCAAAGCAAACTCCGAAACGCCGACCCACCGCTCATTCGGCGTCTCCTCCGGACCCATTTTCAGTGTTCGGCGTTCGGTGTTGTGCCCGGGCCGGGGGTTCAACTCAAACGCCGAAACGCCGAAAGCCACCGGCAAGTGAAGACGCCGATGAAAGCCGAGCCGGGGGGTTTCGGGGGTTCAATGTTCGGAGGGTTCTACCAACGGGGGGATTTAAGTCGGGGGCTTTTATATTAATTCGGGGTTCGATCTTCGGGGTTAGGGGTTGAGTTGGATGGTTTCTCTTTTCATTTGGGGGCTTGATTCGGAGGGGTTTTTTATTTGATTGGAGGGGTATATGAGGGAGCTTAATTCGGAGGCTTTTCTGAATAGTTCGGGGGTCCAATCTCCGGGGGGAAAAGTCGGGAGGTTTCTCTATTCAATCATATAGTTTACATATGAGAAGGCTTGATTCGGAGGTCTTTCTATTTAATCAAAGCCTTCAAGTCGGTGGGTTTTCCTTCTATCTTGAGGGTTCAATCTTCGGAGTGTTAAGTCGGGGGTTCTAAAGTTCAGGTGGTTGAAGTCGTATGGTTTTCTATTTAATTCTGGTATTCAGTTGTCGGGGCTTAAGCCGGGAGGATTCTTTATTCAATTTGGAGGGTCCAATCGTGATGTGTTTCAATTGATTCGGGGCCTTAGTTCCGATGATCTTCTCTTCAATTCGGGAGGTTATATTGGAGGCTTTTTATCTAATCAGGGGGTTCAAGTTGGTGGCTTTTCGATATAATCAGGAGATTTATAATTGACTTAGTTTAATTTACATACTTTTTTGTGTACTTTAAGAGTTCAACTTCGGGGGGCCTCAAGTCAGAGGTTTTAAAGTTCGGGTGGTTAAGTCGTGTGGTTTTTCTATTTGATAGGGGATTGCGTTTGAGGGGGCGTGACTCGGAGGCTTTTCTAATTGATCAGAGCGTTCAAATCGGAGGGTTCTCCTTTCATCTTTGGGGTTCAATCTTCGGGAGCTATGTCGGCAGGTTCTTCTATTTGATAAAGGGTCTAAACTTGAGGCGGCATAATTCGGACGGTATTCTATTTGATTCGGGGGTTCAATCTTCGGGGGTTCAAATCGGATGGTTTTCTAATCGATTCGGGGTATCTTGCTCTGATAAGATGATTAGGGAGACTCCCATATTGTTCGGACAGTTTGCATCACGCTACAAAGTCCGAAATTATCCGAGTAATCGAAAGAGAACAATACAGCTTAACAACACGACTGTCCAAACTTCCCGATCAAACGCCGCCTTCACCACATCCCTATACAACCCCCACTTATCATCCAATTTAACCCCTCTTCGTCAAAATACCCGCAACATACGGCATCGGCGTACTCTCGAACCAGCTCTCCAACTCAACCGACTCCCACCCACCGTCCTGATCCGCAGCATGCTTTAAGGCTGACGTGGTATCCCGATTCATGCAGCAGTTTCCCAAATACCAACTCCAGCCCATGAACCCATAAAAGGCCTGGAATGCCCTCGCGATCACGGACCCTTTCGGCGTCCGCCACGGGTTAACTACATGCTCAACGACGAGCATTTTTCCGCCTGGTCGGAGGAGCGTGTACAAGTCCTGGACGGTGCGGTGCATATCGGGGACTGAGCATAACACGCGCACGCAGACGATGGTGTCGAATACGCCTTCTTTGGTCGTCGACAGCTTCTCAAGAATAGATGGCACGTCTGAAGAGTCGGTCTTGAGGAGGCCTTGCCTTTGAAGAGCGGGGATAAGGTCTGCGGATTCTACGCCACAGGGGAGGATGTTGTATTTATCCTCGAGACCTTGGGAGGTAGCGCTGGCGCGCAGTTCGGCGTGGAGGCCGTGGCAGGGCTCCGCGCCGTAGATGGTCTTGATGGCTGGGGAGCGGAGGAGGGGCATTTGAGTACCTGTGCCTGGGCCGACGTCGAGGACGGTGCCCGAGGCGCGGGCGAGGAGGGGTGGGATTAGGTCTGAGGAGCGGATGATTTGGTCTGGGGGTTGGGTGGGTGGTGGTGATGCTGGGGCGTTTGCTTGGAGGTATGCTGAGGAGAGTTAGAGGTATGGTTCCTCCCGGAGAGGAGTAAAGTAGTGCACTAACTGCTGAAAGCTACCCAGAATTTGCCGAATGCTTCATCACGAAGTCTGCTCTGGTGGAGAAGAGGAGCGAGGATTTGTCCTTTGCCGAAGACAGTCTCAAAATTGACCTTGACATAATCTGGTCGGTATGTTAGATATCCGTCGCTTCACTTGATGATACTTGCACGAGTGACAGTAACATTCATCACCAACGGTGCCACACTTACAGCGCAGGGCCCAGACTAGAAGATAGCCAGGCTCAATGAGAGCATTGATCCATTCCCTCGTCGTCAGGTCCTTGGCAGCCATGTTGACCCGCTTCAAACAAGTATCAGGCTTTCAATGGATGTCTACAGGGCCGCGGCTGACAAGTGTGAGAAGCAGCAGGTGGCTTGACTGGGGGATACTAAATAAATACTTCTAGACCTTATCATTTCTATCGGCGCGGAAAAACCTCTGCGGGGAACCAAATCCTTCTGCGGAGATTGGGGTTGCTGAGTCACCGTGAGGTTTGATTGGCCCATCAGCCCAGCTGCCATGGTTGATAAGGCGTGCTCGTATACTCGTATGACACACGGGTGGCTTCCGCTGGTCCAGAGATGTCGAATGACATTGTGTTTCATTGCATCGGTGCTATAGTATATAGGCTACATGCAAGCCATCGCTCAGGCTCTATCCAGCACTACGGCTCGTGCCCATGTCCGTCACTGTCCACAGCTTGCCCAAGTCCCAGGACTATACCTCCATTGGCACGCTTAGGCTCTTCCAAAACGCACAATCCTGAACCGAGTTCGGCGGCACAGCCTCCATCGCAGTATTATTCGTCTGCAGCCGGAGACGCTGCCCATCCCCCCACGTATTCCACTCTGGCGCTGCTGCATATCGATATGTATTCGGATTCAGTGCCTGGACAAAGCTGATGAAGTAATGCATCGTTACGGGGATTATAGCTGCATTATAACTCAGATACGACGAGTCACTGCTGAGAGTCCCGGTCGACCCTGCTCCGAAGATCGCGGGTAGCTCGAACGTGTGCGGGACACCGATGCCACCAGCGATGTTTGACTCATCGATAATGTTGACACGGTAATTCCACACTGCACTGGGTAAGTATCTGGCAGCTGATGATGCTACATGATTTCCGGGACAAGTAAATGTTGCGTCCCCATATGCTGCGGAGGAAGCACCAAAGTATGCCGCGTGCCGTGGCAGCAGCTTACCGCGAGGATAGACCTGATTAATTGCATCGAGTTGCTGGGAATTGAGATTCGGATAGTTATTCTTAAAAAATTGCGACACATCTGCACTGCTGCTAGCGTTGTAGGCAAAATTAGAGCCTTCGTCGGTATCGTCGCCCACCAAGACGGGAACCTTGATGAAGTTGCCTGCGTCAAACGCGCTGTACAACTCGTCCGGAACTAGACTGCCGTCGGTAACAGGGAGAAAGTACCAATCTGGTAGCGGGGAGCTGCTTCCCCCAGGGAAGGGAGAGGCAGTATTCCCTTTCTGAATGGTTGCAATGTCCTGTGTTCGCAGGCACTCCAGGGGATCACGAGCAGTAGAACAGCCTGTGTCATTGACGAATCGTTCGAACTGAAACTCCATCTCCGACACTGCTCGCTGGGTTGGCCAAAAAGACGACTCAACGATCGCGCCGATGAATAGCCCTTCATCCTTACCACCATAGGCGGATAAATGATAGGCAACGGAGCCAGCACCCGCCGACACCCCGTGGATCACGACGTGGTCGGGGTCGCCCCCGAACTGTTAACGTCAGCACCACTGCAATATCTGCACGGCTACAAGCATTACCTGCTCGATGTATTGTTTGACCCATCTGAGGGCTTTGCGCTGGTCCAGCAGTCCGGCATTCAGGTCCCCGTTCTGCTTGATTCGCTCGCTGGCCAGGAAGCCAAGGGCACCAACACGATAATTGAATGTTACAAATACGATCGCGTCACCAGATTCTTGTATGACTTGGGTTCCGTTGTAGTTGGCATTAGAGTTCTCTGCGTAGCCCCCACCCTGTATGAAGAGCCAAACAGGTAGCTTTGATTGAGAAGTGGCTGTGGATGGCTTGAAAACGTTGATAAACAGGCAATCTTCGCTAATTTCGCCAGGCGATTCTTCCTCGTCTACGCCGATGCAGATTGGCCCGTACTAGAAACAGTTTTAGAGGGGTATCAGTTGACATGTAGAACGGAAAGCCAAATATTACCTCCGTCGCACTCTGAAGGGTTTGATTCGCAGACGGATCCCGGGGCGCCCGAAATCTCAGATCACCAATGGGCGGAGATGCATAGCGCATCCCAAGAAACTCGTCGACACCCCCTTCAAGACGCACGCCTTGATATTTAGCATATTCGAGATCGACCACGGGTTGTCCACTATGGTTTGCCTCGGTTGGAAGACCGCAGACAGTATAGAACAGTAAAGCTAGGCAGGCCAGGCGTATCATTGTCGTGAGGGGCGAATTGAATGCCGATCGTAGGTTCAAAGCGTGCGTGATGACATGACTGGAAGGCGATCTCGGCATACTTTAAGTAACCCATACACTCATAACCACGGCCGTCGTCTGCGGTTCGTCATGTACGCCGGACACATGGAAAGTGACATCCTCTATAATAACAGCCTGAATTGCACGCTCGCCTGATGTGCAAGTCAAGCAAACGAAATCAGTGGGGTCTGCATGCAGGGGAGTAAATAATCCAGGAATGGGAATGTCCGCACGGGCCCGGTCGCTTTTAGCCCGAGGCGTCGAAGTGCGGGGATCGCTCTGGGCTGGCTGAAGCATTCCTTCACGGATTGCAGTTCTTCTTAGGCTATTATACTCTTCACTTGCAAGATCGTTTTATCCACCACCCCTTCTAACCCCCAGCGTTTTAACCTCCCATAGCGGGTTGGCTCACAACGACGCTGGAGTTACTGTTGTGCTTCGGAAACCCATTGCGTAAGATTCTGGGATCGTACCATCACCAGTGAATGGGTGGATACTCACAATGCTTGCTGGCAGTCAGCCATGAAGGCTATGGTCCATGACTGAGTACAGTTCATTCGGAAGGAACACGCACGAAAAGTCTTCCGGTACTAGACTCCTCGCTGTTGGAAGTCATATGCATACTGAGTCGCAGTAAAGTGCAAATAAGGCCGCATGGGATACATATCACCTTTGTCAAAAGCATTGGTACATTGTAATCGAGTATGTATCTTCAGCCAGGCCATTCATTGACGTATTTGTTGAAAGGAATGATACTGAGGACCGTAGGGCATTGGTCAAGTACCGAACTTCACTAGATCGTCGCTGTCAACCCTTTTTTCCATGGCTAGTAACGTAGTAATGGCAGGTTCAAGATGTTCACGGCCCACTGTTAACGGACAGCACGGATTATATAATGCGATGTGAGGAACCCTTAAAACGACCCAATTCATTAAGATTATCTATTGACAATTGAGACATCCTGAATCATACAATTAACTCACCGATGAAGAAACTCATGTTGGCCTGGGTATCGCAGCAGAAGATGGCCCCGCTATTTCGCCCAATTCAATACTCTCCCGGGTGACCGATATCTGTACACTCTTTAAGATTGCATTGCTTTGGTGCCCTTCAAGTGGTGGTGACGAAGCCGATGCGGTCGCTTCCGTTCGTAAGATCGGCTCTTCTTCAATGCAGCTGCTACCGAACGAGCCCAGGTCTTTGACCGGACGAGAGGATCGCCACGACTTCTGTGGGGTGCGGCCGCTGCGGCTTTGCGAATTCGAAGCATCTTCCGTGTATGCGAACCCATGATCATCCTCGTAGACTGCCACGAACATCTTCAAACATGAGACTGTCAGAAGAACGATGCTGAGGCTGAGGTGGAGCTCCGCTACCATGGTAGCATAGGTCCCGGCAAGCGAGGGGTTGGAGGAATATATCTGGGAGTGGATATAGTATAGATGCACGGCGGAAAGGGGAATCAATCTGGAGTGTAGGGGGTGGTGTTAGCATACGGAGCTTCAGCAGATATGTAGATAGGTGCCATACATAATCCGACAATTGAGAATGGATAGGACCTTGAGCTTCTTGCTCATACTTATTTGCACGTTTCGGATTGTTATCGCGGGATAAGCCAGGATCACGGCCTCCAAAACAATATCAAGCGCACAGATGGCTTGCCATCTTGGATAAAGCCCAGCACAGGCGTCATCGATGTCGGTCCAAGGACGCTTGCTGCATCGAATGGCTAGAAGCAAAATTGCGAGCATGGCCCACAGGCCACACGAGGATATGATGACATTAACCATCCACTTCGTACGCTGTAAGGAAAGATTTTGGTAGAATAGCATGGTGCCTATTTTCGACAAGCCAATGATAAGGACGTAGAACAGATCCGCTGCGTATCCGGCCTAAGGCGATTAGCTCGTTAGTTGGCCGATGCGCTCGGATAACGCACCTTCTCCATCTGAGTATAGTCACTGGAGGAAATCAGCTCCTTTGACTTGCCCCACCCATGGTGAACCTGGAGAAGCACAAGTGATACTTGAGTGCAAGCGCATATCTGGGGGGCCCGAGAGATTGATTAGTGTGTGAACAGGCTCTGCTAGAGGAAGCTGACATACTGCTGCGGCAAACAGAACGTGATCATCCTGGAGCATTAGGCCTCTTTTTGATGATGCGAATAACCTGATAACCAGCGAGGCCAGAACAAAGAATAGAGCCAGTGAAGTGACGATTACGACGAGTCCGTTATGGTTATGGTCGTTATCTTCCGTTAATGGAGGGGAAACTCCCGGAGGAAGCGATGAGGCCAGGACGGCCATCGCAACAGGCGGCACTGCGACTGAGACCCGCTGTCACTGGTGTTGAAGAGAAACTATCACGACATTGTGGTATTATCTACCGACGGGTTCTTTGAGGAAGATCGCGCCGCTGAAATGAAGGAGATAAGGTGGGTGTGCCGGCTACTTCTGCGGCTGACAGCCTTGACCGACAGGGTTGAGTGACTCCTTGACACCTTAGCCTTTCCGCAGTCGCGTTGGAGACGCATCGATTGTTTGTTATTTTCTGAGCTGGTCGGACAGGGGGTATGCTTATACGAGAAAAGATAGAAATGGTGTGTAACCCTAGACAAGCACACATGGCCCGGTTGATTGTGTTCTGATGAAAGCGATAAGTGAAAAAAACGGTCGGCAACCATCATTGTTGGCACACTCCTCTGTACTGGACGGTAGGACAAGCAGACAACCACCAGGAAAGTCCGAAGTCTTGACGGTACGCCCCGATCGCATGTCGTTGGTGGATACCGACGCGAATAAGCACAGCAAAACTGGATCCCGGCTGATCAACTGCTAATCGACCCCTCCTCTCCGCATCGCGCGTTGGTAGAAATGAGCTATTTTCGGAGCTGGCCACGCTGACTTGCTGAGATTGGCCATCCACCACGAGAATGGGCCCCCAAAACCTTAATGCCTATCACCACTGCACCTGATCACATACAGACATTCCTATCTCATGCCACGCGCCTAGCCGTCCTTGTCAGTCTGGGTTTAACCCGATTAAACAACGTTGAGCCTGCGTTGAGAAGGGAGATCAAAGAAGAGAGCAAATATCCAGGCAAGGGTTGCAGCCACGCCCTTATTTCGTGCCATGGCAGATGGTCGGTCCAATGACCATCGAGGCTATCCGGAGGTTCCCTATTGGCAATCAAACCTGCCTTCCTTAATGGCCCGATTTCGAATTAGATCATCCTGGTAATCCCGTGTCTCCCTTGTCAACACTATCAATCATCTCGTCACGATGGAAAGAGGGGGGTGAAATTCCCTGCAGGCCAAGGATGCCGATCGAGTGGCGGGCATGTCAAAGTGTCGCAGCTGGTGAGCCGTGCTACACACACTCACGTTGTCTGTTGCTCCCGCCGCCAGCACATTGCGAGGGTCTGCGCCTCCTTGGGAAATCAAGGCCGCAGAGATCGACATCTTGTATCCATGTTGACTGGCCACATTCTCCGGGAGGAGTACCATGGACCATGTGAGTGCGTTCCGACCCTTGCTGCCACGGGCCCCTGGGCCCTGATGGCGGTCGGAGAACAAAGACTGGGGAAACCCCACGCTGGATGCTGCCACGGTTTGAGTCATGATGAGGAAAGAAAAAATTCCTTCCTGTTAACCTGGAAGAAAGCTCAGTGAATTAACGGCCAGTTGCAGGGGAAATAAGGGGATGCTGGCGGAAATGGCCGCCGGTTTCTTTGTTTGATCCCTCACGTCACACAGCTTGACTTCCCGTTTCGTATTTAGTCTGTGGTCGCAGAGTTAGCCTCCACAGCCGCATCTCTCTTCATTTCAATTCAACGCGTTGACAGTGTCCCAAAATGTCGTCCGCAACAGGGGAAGCGGGCAGCATTCAAAAGGGCGACCGAGTGGTGACGACGGGCTGTCATCCGCTGGAAATCGAATCCGGCGAGCGGAGTAGCGGGGAGGCCGGCACGCGATATGACCATAGCGATATGAATCGCATGGGCAAAGCGCAGGAGTTCAAGGTAAGATATCTGCAATTGTGTAGCGACTGGCCTAGAGAGAATGAGTAGCTAACCTCGTATTCAAAATTAGAGAAATCTCCGACCTCTAGCTGCCCTGAGTTTTGCTTCGGTCTTGCAGGCTACTTGGGAGTTTATTCTAATGTACAACCCCTCTCTATCATTTTCTAACGGCCCACATTTCTTCAGCTCTAACGCATCCGAGTTACTAGATCCAACTATGAAGGTCTCGAAGACGGTGGAATGGCTGGCCTGGTGTGGACATATGTGTGGACCTTTGTCGGATTCGGCTTCATCATCGTCTCATTATCGGAGATGGCGTCCATGGCTCCAACATCAGGAGGCCAGTACCACTGGGTGTCCGAATTCGCTTCTCCACGATACCAAAAGTTCCTGAGCTACATCACCGGATGGATGTCCGTTCTCGCATGGCAAGCCGGCGCCGCATCAGGGTCCTTCCTGACCGGCACAATCATCCAAGGGCTCATCAGCGTGCGCAACCCCGATTACGACCCCAAACGATGGCAAGGCACCCTTTTCGTCTTCGCCATGATCCTAATCATCTACTTCTTCAACGTCTACGCCGCCAGCTGGATGCCCCGCATACAAAACGCCCTATTAGCCCTCCACACCATCTGCTGGGTAGTAGTGATCGTCGTTCTCTGGGCCATGGCACCCCGTCAGTCCGCGAAAGCCGTCTTCACCGAATTCAGCCTCTACGGCGGCTGGAACAACGTCGGGCTAGCACTAATGATCGGCCAAATATCCGCCATCTACGGATCCCTCAGCTCAGACGCCACGGCACACATGTCCGAAGAAGTCCGCGACGCCGGCCGATACGTCCCCATGGCCATCTGCGGCGGCTACTTCAGCAACGGAATCCTAGCCCTCGTACTCATCATCACCCTCATGTTCGCCATGCCCTCGGTCAAAGACGCCCTAGACGACCCCACCGGATTCCCCTTCATCTACGTCTTCAAACAGGCCGTCTCCACCGCCGGCGTCAACGGCCTCACCGCGATAATCCTCATCCCCGTCATCTTCAGCAACATCCTCTTCAACGCCTCCACAGCCCGCCAGACCTACGCATTCGCGCGCGACAGGGGCCTGCCCTTCTCAAACTGGATCTCAAAGGTCAACCAGCACTACAAACTCCCCGTGAACGCCATCGCCCTATCATGCATCATCAGCGGCCTTCTCTCCCTCATCAACATCGGCTCCGACACCGCCTTCAACGCCATCATCTCCCTAAACGTCGCAGCCCTCATGTGGACCTACGCCATCTCCATCAGCTGCGTTATGTATCGCAAGATCGCATGTCCGGAAACCTTACCCCCGAGACGGTGGAGTCTAGGGAAGCACGGGATCTGGATTAACGCGGTAGCATTGATATATGTGATCTTCGCGCTGTTCTGGTCCTTCTGGCCGACTGAGATTCCGGTGACATTGAATAATTTCAATTGGAGCGTGGTGCTCTTCGTAGGGGTGTTTGTGATTAGTTTGGCCATGTATGTTGTTCAGGGGAGGAGGGTGTATAAGGGGCCTGTGGTGGATGTTAAAAGGGAATCATTGTAGTCGGGATGATGATTAATTGTTCTCATAGCATACCATGCCAAATTAATTATATTCCTTATACACTATTCGTAGGTCTGTTGGAAGGTAGGTAGTATATCAAGTAGAAGAGTCACTAGCATAGTTTTTTTCATGGTATCATCACATGTCCATGACACACAAAAGTCACCACCCCCAAACTAGATAGTCCTCACCACATAAGTCATGATAATGTGATTGATATACAAGTCACCTGATCTACACTAACTAGCAAAATTCTAGAATACCAAATATGGATAGATACTAGAACGTATTGACCTCCAGATAACACGGAGCCATATTTCCATGCTCAACGCATAGTATAGTATATGTGGGAAAGTTCGGATCTGTATTGAAAATGCATTATGACTAGAGTAAGGGGGTTCTCATCTTTCCTTATTGTTTACCTAGTGACAAATCAAATCATTTCAGTCTGAAGGTTTCGGTCCGTCTGAGTGAGGGAAGACTTTATGGTGGTATATTAAATCTTGCATGTAGAGATTTACCGCAGGTACCTAGTAGGGTAACTAATCAAATGGATGATAGGTTCTTATATCAGGGTGATCACATCACCCTTAACGTCAGAGAGATGAGATAATCTCGCAGATACGTACTACTGACGAACCGTATAATCATACTATTTCGGGCCATAGAATCAAATACTTGGGCAGGAAAACAAGTGGAAAGTTAAGATTCTATATCTAGTAAGGTGAATTGATGCTCACATAAGTGTCAATATCCCCATTTAGCGGTGTGAGTTAGTTCCTGCTGGTTGTTGCGCTGTAGAATCCTACCAAGTTGAACTGCTGGAAGCCAGACCATAGTGGATCCAGTAAGCCATTGAGTTTAGATACGAAAGACCCGAATAGGTAGGAGAGGTGGATCCACCACAGACGGCAGAGCTGAAAGTTTGGCCAGGATGGAGGTGGCGGGGTACGCATTCCTGGCATGTCGCCAAACACGACAGGACGGATGATGAGAGCCCCTCAAGACCTCAGGGTGAAGTTGGCTCCATATTGGTAAGAAACCAGATCAAGATATACGGTATGGGTAGGGAAAGCCCACATAGATCGTTACGTGGGACTCAGTTCAGCTGATCTTTGTTGACTGATTTTTGCGCGGGTAGCATACGAATGCGCCACATGGGTCGAACTAATATAGCGAGAGTGTCAATTCAGGGCTGGCTTGTCGCTGAAGAATTGCCCCTCTGGATCCTGCCAGCTGGGTCTCAACGTCGAGGACGCCAGAAGATTCTTAGGGTGGGAACCATTCGGGCGCCGCGCTGTTCTTCCCGTTGACAGACTGGGTTTATGGAACATTCTGCTGCAGAGAATGGAAGGGTCGGAATTTGATCTGACTGCCTTATCAGCCTTCCCACCGGCATATATACTGTATTTTCTGCAGCTGTATCAAGTCGACTATGACTTATGTTGGGCATAGCAATAGCCATCTGCGAGTATTACCCGCCCTGGCCGGAGAAACTGCAGTAGATAGCATACCTCGCGGCTACGGCGGAATCTCGAAACCGGATAACCGGCGAGGAATGATCCAGAAAAAAAAGAAGCACATGGTGGAATGCCCTGTATGGACTCACACGTGCTGAGAAAAAACAGTGTAAGGGTTATGATTAAAAATCTCAACCCCAAGCCGTGGTGCCCCTCCGTCGATCCGACACGTGTTGACAGTAAGGCCTCACGAGGAGTCACTGCAGTGGGTCAAGCACCGACACTAGAGCTGCGCCCGAGGCAGTTCTGGGTATAGTCCTCTGCATGGCATGAGAGGTAATTTCCCGTGTCTTATCCTGTGCCAAGTGAAACCTGCAGGATGATTTCATTCCAGTTGTTCAGGCCGCCTTTCTCAATATTGGATCCTGTATCTGTTGCTGCATGCAGTCGTGGATCATGGAATAGTTGCATGCCAGAGGCCTGTTCCTCCATCAAGACCATCCATCCATCGATGGTAGATGTAAAATTTCGGAAGACCCCGCTCTCGAGCCGACTCGGGTTTGCGTGGGCCAACGTGATCCGAGGTTATCAGTAAATGACACGAGCTCGGGTGTGGCCCGTTCGAGTGGAGCCCACGCTTAACTTCTCGCTTGTTCGCTACTCGCTGCATCGTGCTGCTTGGACCTCGACGTTTCGCGGTATCTTTACCCAGCGTACCAGAAGGCGTCATCCTACGAATTCTTCTCTACAGGCTGTGACGGTGTGTCCCAAAGTAAGCGTTTTCTCTTTCATCTAGTTCAAACCAAAAGTGCGATAAGATAGGAATATGTTATGTGTTTAGTTACAGTACGAAGTAGAAATATTGTAGGCTGGTTGTGAGGAAAACATATGTTACATACACTAAACGTCTCTCATGATTCATCATGTCATGGCCACATGCTCATGCCGTGGCGAAGTTCTCGCTCTGCACATTCATGTACGACACAACCCGAAGCGCATCACCCGACTGAACTGAGCAGGCTATGTAGGTGTGTAGACCACGTTGCTGGAGAGCGTCGGGCGTACTGCGTGGATTGTTAGCAACATGCACTTGGCTACGTGGACACGGGATACTCACAATACTTTGCGCAGGGTTTCAGTATAGGTACGCATGGGCAGTTCCGACTTCCCGTTAATTCCATACATGTATTCGTTCAACGCCGTAACCACATGCCAGTCGCTTGGCGCGTAATGTCGGGCGGGAATATACACCTTGACGTTGGGGGCCGTGCTTCCTGGGCGGAACTCCATGTTATACAGGATGCCCCCTGTGCGATGGTTGGCAGCTGGCAGTGGTGTATCATCAGGCACGCCAGTCTGCGCCAGAACCCCGTCCCACAACTGCCTCAGATTCCGCAGTCCAACTTCTAGTGACGAGCTGGTAATTCGGTTACCCATCGTCATCATCTGACACACAGAGGCAAAGCTGGTTTCGCGCGTTCGAAAGTATATCTTGAGACGCGAATCAGCCGGTCGGACCAAGTCAATGGCTAACATGTCCAACTCCAGCGGCGGCGTCGAGGGATCC